CGCCCTATCCCCCCTCCCCCACTTCCTCCCCCATCCCCCCCCACCCCCACCCCTTGCTTTACTTTCCTTCACAGTACTTATCGCCAGCTCACATTTATTGCTTTATTGTTGTCATCTGTCTCTTCCTCACTAAATTATCAGCTCCAAGAAGGCAGAGTTTGTTTTGTTCACCAAAATATCCCCAATTTTGGAACAGTGCCCAGCATTAGAAGAACCTCAATAAATACCTACTGAGTGAATGACTGAGTGAATGAATGAAGCAGGTACTGTGCTAGGCTCCGGAAAATCAGATGCCTAATATTTCATGTCCTCCAGGGACACACTGGCTAGTCGGACATGTAAGCTATGCAGCTTGTAACCAGTTAGTTAAAATACCAAGTAAGAACGTGAAGTGCATGGGAGTGGGACCGGCTCAAAGGAACATAAACATTGTGATAGCTATCGATGCCTGAAAATGGGCCGTGCCAGCACTAGGTCTGGCACTCCACATGGTTCATTTCATTACTCCTCACTCTGGAGAGGGTGGAGAGAGGTACAGGGGGAGGCAGGACTCTAAGTCTAGCAGACAATCAGGCAGAGGGATCAGAGGAGCCACAGGGGCCTGAAACCACATGGGCTGCTAGAGGACTGACTAAGCATACACTTTCGATGGGTGGAGCCCAGGGAGCTGCAGTGGGTAGAGATGGCAGCTGGTGTGGCTGGAGAGTCCCTATTGGTGAGGCCTTGAGCTGCCCCTTTGCATTTATGCTCCCTCCCTCCTCAGTGCCCTGCAACGTGGAGAGTGCCCGATGACAACACCAAGTTTACAACCAGGCAGCCAGTGCATCCATGTCAGGTGACTCACTGGTCTACCATTTTCCCAGGTAGACCAGAAGTCCATACCACCCTTCACGCACAATTCTTGGAAGCCTGCTCCTTCATTTCGCTCCTTACCTGCAGTTTTGAGATGTTGCCTGTGCCATCTCTAACCCGCCCCGCCCCATCCTACAAGCTGTTAAAAACTACCACACATCACCCTCTTCTTGCCTGAATGTAAATAATAAAATAAAAATAACTTATGGCATTGAGCAGATGAGTTCTCCCTCAAGAAATATCCAGTTATTAAAGATCTAGTGCAAGGATAAATCAATGTCTCAGCTCAGAGGAATGAGCCACAAAGCATTTTTTAAACACTGGTCGCCTGTGGAGGGCACATTCAGACTCCCAGGGCAGAACTCCGGGCACATCCCTGGCATCTGTGATGCAGGGACAGGGGATTTTAGGGAAGAAGCCCTGGGCTCCTGAAGGCTTCCCTCACTCAGGGCATGATTCCCATACACCGCGGGGGACAGGGTGGAGGCCCCAGCTCTACCCACGAGATTTCTATTTGTTATCTGTCAAAGCTTTCACGGGAGAAAGAGCGTCCTGAGGTTGTAAGTTCTCTGTCCCTGGAGGAGTTAAAGCACGGGGTGAAGACAACCTCCCCTGGAAGGGAAGGAAGCCTTTGGGGTGCAGGTGGAAAGAGGGGGGTGCTGGGGAAAGAAAGAGAGAAGCCGAAGGAAGACGCTGATGTGCCTAAGGCCAGCCTCCTGCTGGCCCAGGTCTCCAGCCTCTGGCCATGAGCCTTCTGCCCCTCACTCGGATCCGCTTCCGTCCCCTCGGCCTCAGTCTGGGCCCCATCCAAGGGTGCTCTCAAGGTCATTCCTTGCCCCTTTGACTCACAGAAAGAGGACTCGGAGGGTTCTAGAACCAGGACCAGGATCCCAGTTTCTAGAGACCACTGTTTCTAAGCACCTCCAAGTAAGGGTTTTCCAAAATCATACAGGAAGAGGGGCTACAATGTGGTGGGGTCTGTCCAGGGACACCCAGGAATCATTTGCCACTTCCCTGCACCCCACAGCCCCAGTCAGCGTAACAGGCCCCCTTCCTCAGTAGGCCCTGAGCTGGGGTGAGTAAGAACACGACCCAGACCACCCCCACCCCCACCCCCGGAATTTGCCCGCTGAGAAGGTGGGGCAGGGAATCCCCAGGCAGCCAGGTCTGATCCTGAAAGTGTTCATCGGATCTTCCCCACCCTCAGAGGGGAGAACATGAAGGTGCCTGAGGAAAGGGCACGGTGACCGCCGTAGGAGCTGAGTGGGTGGGTGCGAACCGGGCGTGGAGGAACCCAGAAGTGAGGTTAGAGCGCGGGGG